TTGTTGTTTGGCCAAGGATCGTCCTTGGGGAAGCCTTCACGCATCGCCTTCAACGTTGGGTGCACCCGCGTGTATCTGATTGATGATTCGGATGAATCCGAAACACTTATAGAACGTCACCTTCGCAAGTCTGTAGTGCTAGTTCAAATGCAACAACGTCGGTGTCAACTTTAGTCGTCATTCGGGAGTCTCCTTTTTCCTTAAACACAAGGTCTGACCACACGTCCGTATCTTATGACATACGAGGTTTCCCGAGGACGAGGTCGTGAACGGAAGCCATACATAGCATTCATAGATGATCCATACACATGGATCTGCGGCTCATCGACTGTTGCCTTCTCTGAAAACACGGACATGTATTTCATCCTGACAAACCCTCCTCGTCGTGCTAAGGAATTCCCTATACAGTCACGTATTTCAGACACTTTCTTTTCCACATCATCCCACAATGATAGAAAAACTCTTACCTGACCTGCTCTCACCAAGTCTGACCGCCCATCTACATCTAGGCGAGACATGACCGCCTTGAACCTGGATCTCTGAAGCACCATCTCGTTGCGTGACACAAGCACAACTGCATCCACAAGTTTCCCGCTTTTGCTTGAAGAAGCCACACATAGCACTCTGGCGAAAGGACATCCGTCATCCGTCAACCGGACACAACAGTACGACAGAGCTTGTGAAGAAGTCCCTGCGCAACGGGGTGGGTAGTGTTCCAAGAATGAACAATGACGAGCGCAGTCCACCAACTCTTGCTTCTGCGAACTTTTCCAAGTTCGTGGCGAAGATGTGATATACTTGCAGTGGAGGCGACGTCTGAAGCTGGTACGGAAGCGGACCGGTTTACCCTTATCGTCCAGGGTCTTTCGATGGAGGATACCAGCAGGCAGTGCAATGAGGCTACCGAACTCCAACATGTTGGCAAACATGTAATGGCTTGCCCATGGGCAGGAACGCTCCATCACCTTCAAGTCATTTTCGTTCCATTCGTCGAGATGCCGGTTCATGTAAGGGACGACGGTCGTCCATGGGTCGTCCTCAAAGTCGTCCTTGGGTGCATCGTCGATCCACGTTTGACCGTCATGATGCCGCAACGATCTCGCACAAGGTGGAAAGGGTTTCGCTAAGCGCATGTGCTTCTAGGGTGTCATGGCGATGCTTGTTGCAGGACTCGACGACATTAAACTCCCTACACAACACGAACACATGGATAGACATACGGAAGAAGAGACCGTCGAAAACAATGTTGGTGAACGATAATTTCCCCGACGAGGCCCACACCAAGCTGTAACGACGTACACTTTTTTGTCGGCGAAGCCCTTACAGAAGGCCGTCAATCGAAAATCGTCAAAAAAAAATAAAATTCCACGTCGCATTGCAAAGCCCTTGCAGAAGGTCACCAATCAGAAGTTCACCAAGCCAATGGAGTGTTTTCTAAAAGTCACGCAGGGACCCGCTCCAGAGCAGAGGCGGGATTTCCTAAAATTATCAAAACCCACGCCATAAAGCACATTGAGACGGATAGAACAGTCGGACGACCCTCGTCGAATGGAACAGCACACCGACGCCGGACAACCACATTACACAGCTTCATCTAAAGAAGACGTTTTCGCACAGTCGACATGACAAGTACTTTTCGCAGAGCTATGAAAGCACACACTCTACCTACCACGGTCATTCTGAATACGAGCTGAACAGAAGTGCAAGACAGAGGCTTATCCAAGCCTACCGCACCGCCCCGAATCGGAGGTTCGGATCAATCCGAGCCACCCGCCAACAGAAGTCCTAGACAGAAGTTCATCCAAGCCTACCAATCCGTGGTTTGGAGAGCAACCGCCCCGGAAAGATAGACATTAAATGGGTTGTCATGCGACCATCCGTGGCTCGGATTAATGCACATGAGTGCCCACCATCGGTTATTGTATGTTGCATTCAGGATGCGTGGCGTGTGCTGCCGTTTTCCTTTCCCTATGAGACCTTCCGCCACTGGGCGTGATACTCACCTCGGGACTCCCGATGCGATGAGGGATGTGGTTCGGATTGATCCGAGCTATATCACACGTTTAGGAGTGACGCGGAACATATAAGTCCTGTGTGAGTATTGCACAACCCAATGCGGAATAAATAAACACTGACAAAAGCCACGACTGCCATCTGTCAGTCGTCTGTGGTTGTGGTTTGGATTCATCCGAGTTACAAACGAAGGCAAAAGAAGATTAAATGGGTTGTCGTGTGACCATCCGTGACTCGGATTAATGCACATGAGTGCCCACCATCGGTTATTGTATGTTGCATTCAGAATGCGTGGCATGTGCCGCCGATTTCCTTTCCCGATGAGACCTTCCGTCTCTGGGCGTGATACTCACCTCGGGACTCCCGATGCGATGAGGGATGTGGTTCGGATTGATCCGAGCTATATCACACGTTTAGGAGTGACGCGGAACTTGTAAGTCCTATGTGAGTATTGCACAACCCAATGTGGAATAAATAAACATTGATAAAAGTCACGACTGTCGTCCGTCAGTCGTCTGTGGTTGTGGTTCGGATTCATCTGAGCTACAAACGAAGGCAAAAGCAGATGGGGAGCTATCAGAGTCATGATTTTTGGAGATGTTTACTTCGAAAGCGATCCCCTGTGTCGTCGTTGTCCCTTCCACTGAGACATCGGAAGGATGCGGTTCCCGTAGAGACTTCCCACGAGCCGAGGGTTGTGGTTCGGATTCATCCGAACTACATCACACGTTCCGTAGTGAGGCGAAACAAAAAACGTCCAGCCTGAGAATTGCATAACCCCTCGTGGAAGACAAAGAACACCGACGAAAGTCATGAGTGGCGGGTTGTCATAGATAGGAGGTCGCCTCAAAACTCTCGATGGGGCAACGTTGCGTGAAAACAATGGGTCGCATGTAAGGGGGGCACAGTCATCCAACTACTGGCATCGCAAATGACATCTACTATTGCCTTCATCCCGAGATCGGATGAATCCGAACTCCATCCGGAACAAGTGGCACGAACAACACTCTCTCACTCCCGCTGCAATCCCGAGAATGCCTCCCTAAGCTGCTCTGGAAAACAAGGCTGCGATTAATTGGACTCGAAATGTGATCGGCGTAGATCGAGAGCTGATCGTTCCACGAGGTCATTGTGCGCTCATTCATTTAGATTTCAAGACTGCAATCGTCGCGAGGATTGTCCACGTCAGAGTTCGCCCAAAATGAATCGTGGCGAGGGGACGGGCTGCCGCATGGGCGGCGGTGCTGTGAAGTTTTCCTGTGGGCACGATGGAACTTGTGAGCGCTAGTTCCATATCCAAAATGTTGTCGATGCGTGTCCTGCGTCTCGCGCCCGGTTGCGTGGCGATTCCTCATTGCTAGCTGCGTGTGCGAGAACGGGTGATGAGACAGGGAACGTTCAAGACAACAAGAAAAAGATCCTGATGTCGTCCGCAACCACGATAGATATGTTCAATCACCGAGTCGATCGGAAACGAGCTCGAAGTTGGCCCTTGGCGGTGGGATGTTGCGGGATCGGCGGTAATCTGGGATGTTTCGGATTCGCCATGGGTATCCGTTCTGTGCAACGGGTCGTCGCTGAACGTTGTGGATGGGTGGCTTCGCCACTGTTGGCTGTGAGTGCGACACGAGCGATTCCTGTTGGAGGTGCGCGTTTGTCGTGAGGCTTCCAGCTATCAGCGCTGCGATAACAGATCGTCCGATAGACGTCAACACCGGAGATGGATGGACGGGATCTTAAAGTCGATGGACACGTGTTTTTCAGATGACGTCTCTAGTGTTGACGTCTATCGGGTGATGTGTTATCGCAGCGGTGATGACGCCAGGGAGCAACGGCGATGAAACTTCGTCCACGCGTCAGATGCGGTCGTCGGAGGCGTCCGACGATCTTGACTGCGAAAGCCGCAGGCCATTTCGAATTCCAGACGTCGTGCGCAAGATGGTGACATCAGCGTGTGTCACTGGAAGGGAACTTTCGTGGTTGTGAGCTGCGGACATCGTGGACTAAAGATCGCGCGCATGTCAACTCGTGCGTGATAGACAGAGCTGGCGGTGATGTAGAAGAATACTCGCACGACCGACTGCATTGCGATATCCTAAGTAGACTGGGGGAGGACGACCCGCGAGCCAGGGTCCAAGAAAGTGTACCAACAAGCGATGTCGAGGACGCCAAGACTCGAGGGCGATGCGAATTCCTCCACGCGTCAGATGCGGTCGATAGAGGGCGCCAAGACTAGAGGGCGATGTTGAGGACGCCAACATGGTGAGGACGCCAACAAGCGATGGTGAGGACGCCGACAAGCGATGGTGAGGACGCCAACAAGCGATGTTGAGGACGCAAACAAGCGATGTTCAGGATGCCAAGACTCGAGGTCGATGACTGTGAAAGCCGCAAGCCATTGCCCGTCGCGGACGTCATGTGCAAGATGATGACGTCAGCGTGTGTCACTGCATGGGGTCTTCCGTCGTTGTGATCGGTGGGCGTCGTGCGCTCAAGATCGTGCGCGCGTGATTGGCGGAGCAGGTGGTGGCATAGAACAAGACTTGCATGGTCGAAGGAGCGGAAGGGCAATGGGAAGAGGTGGGGGCTTGAAATGGTGAAGGGGTCGAGCAGGGCGCGTGGGCTTCTTACTGACCTGCGAGTCGACAAACGCCTCCAGCCAACACAAGAAAGCACAACGCGAACGGGACGACGCGCAAGGTCTACAGTCGCGTGACGTTTTCGTTAGCGCCCCCGGCTATCGATGATTGCTGGAAGAACGAGGGCCTGGATGTGCAAGGGCCTGCGATATGATGCAGGCGACTTCGAGCAATGGCGGACGCGTCGCAAAGGCAGCACACGGAAGAAATGACACCAGCGAACGGGTGTAACAGCCACCCCCATTCGTTTGGTGCCCGACAGGAGAACGGAGAGTGCAGTGAGTGAGGCTTGAGGGGCCCTTCAGCTGCCCGCGCCATCCGATACTGCCGCGTCGGGGGCTGTGACATCAGGCGGTCCCTTTTTTGACGGACCCTCCTCACGAAATCGCACGGTCCGAAACCGTCGCGAGAGTCGGGCCGTGATTGCGAGAGGACTGTTTTTTTTTCACCGCGCTATCGACGGTCCCAACGCATCATCTAGCGCAAATTTTCCCGCCCACTTTTGATTATCGGGGCCCGCGCGGATTTTACCGTGATATCGACGGTTCCAATGCGTCATCCGGCGTGACTTTTCCCGCCCACTTTCGTTTCTTGGGCCCCTCGCGGATGTATCCGCCATTCGAATGACGGTCGCGCCATTCAGCGAATTTGCAGGTGGGCATTGCAATCGTCCGAAGCAGCAGGCAATCGCAGGTGTCGCCAACCTTCACGGCCGAAAATGCCCGTCGCGCGCCCGGACCACGCGCCCTTGCCAGCGACACAGCCATCTCGTCGCCGTCTCCCCCGCCCTTTGGCTCGCTTCTCTCTCTCTCCCTCGTCGCCATATCCCTCGCCTCGCCATCTCCTTCGCGTCGCAATCTCCCAAGTCTCCATTCGCGGTTTTGCCCTGTCACGCGTCGGCACCTCCCTTTTCGCGCGTCGCGACACGCGTCGTCGTATTGCGGTTTGAGATCATCAACCAAGTCGCCGGGGCCATTGTTTCCAACAACAGTTGTAAATCGAGGAAAGAAAAGGTGCGTTCTCTCTCTCATTCTATCTCCCTTTCTCACCTCTCTCTGTCTTACTCCTCGTCTCTCTCTCTCTCTTTCTCTCTCTCTCTCTCTCTCTCTCTCTCTCTCTCTCTCTCTCTCTCTCTCTCTCTCTCTCTCTCTCTCTCTCTCTCT